AAAAAAAAAGCAACACGACTTTGATAAACTTTTTTTTCTACAATGAAAATAAAATTTTCTCTTTTAAAAATGTCTTGGAAAATCACCTTTCTTAATTAAAATAGAGAAGAGGATTAATTGACCTTGTTTATAGACAAGTTATCTGTTAGTCTTTATTGGCTATTAAAGAACTATTTCATACTATTTCTTATGATAGATTTCGTGAACAATCATACAATGTGAGAATAAAAACTAAACCATATAAGTGACTATCAGACGAATTTAGTTATCAAGTGATGTATATATTTAATTTATTTGTCTTACTATCTTATTCAATGTTTGACAGAATTAAAACTTTCTAATATCTTGAGTAGCATAAAAAGAAAAATAGATTGGATGTCAAATGTGAGGATAGCCAAATCAAGATATTAGTCAAAAATATTGTTCTGATTGGTGTTACTCTCAGAATGAACTTGAGAAGTTTTTGTCAACTTTAAGTTAGTGAAAAAGATGGCAATGACTACGATAAATTTTTACTGAGGAAAGTTATTATAAAAATAAAGAAGAAAATATCGGATTTCTGATAATGTTTCTGTATGATTTATAAATTTATCAGGGTTGGTTAAAGCTTTTTGCGATTTGAAATGAAGAGATATGCTGTAGGGAAATTCATGCATCTGGATTTAATGCCTATTTTGTCGAATTCTACTTCTCCTGCCCATAGATTGTAATGAAACTATTGTGATTTTTGAGCACTTGTTTCTCTTTTATTTATTTATATATTTGAACACATAGATATTGGTACAAGAGGGCACCAGATACATATGCGCCACATAAACCATTCGATTTGTGTAAGGGCTGGGGTACTGCCCGGGTGCCCAAACTGAAGCAGGTGGTTTTCAGGGGGCCACACCCCAAACCTTTGATCTAAATGTCTAATCCACAAGGCAGTGGAGCAACGTCAGAAGATGCATTGTCATGGTAGACGATGACCAACCACTGAATCATACGACATTTGCTCCCTCAGGATCCTGGAGCTCATGTGCACCATTGGTTTGTAATCAGGGTTTTCCAACTCCTCTAGATGGACTCTTCGTGTCCATCAACCCGGTTAAAGCGCCGTAGTTCGCTTTCTGTCCTCTCAGTTTCGTAAACAACACCCCCTTCGCGGGAAGGCAGTGAGTAGAACTTCCCTGGCAGAGGTTATATACGCGTGCCCATGTGAGAGCATTTTGAGAGGTAGAGCTAACTCTTCCCACTCTCGGCCGTGGGCATTTAGGGGCTATCAAAACTGTCGCTCCGTTGTAACTAGACTTAAATTAAAGAGGGGAACTATACTAGTTAATGGAATTTATATGATCCAATTCACCATCAGAAACACTAGTTATCGAAAAGTCTTTGTTGAAAAAAATAAGTGAGTATCAGCTCTTTTAGACTTATTGTACTACAATCACATTAAATGATTTTCTGAACTAATACTTTCTTTTACTTATACGTTATGTACTGTAATATCGTCGAAATTGTAAAGCATCCTATTTATTCTTACATCATGCTTAAGTGAGGTTTACTCCATGACTTTGAAACGGTGTTATGAAACCTGGTAAATATCCCTTTTGTATTATAATTCAAAAATCAAATGGAATTATTGATTTGGTGAAATAAGAGTAAATTAACTTTTGTTTTGAATTTTATTCAAGTCCAGTTATTAATGTTAATTAAAATTAGTAATTACTATCCCCATGTTATAGAATAAATTAGAAAGAATGTAACTAATATACCACTAATGGTAAATTGCTTAAATGAATGATATTAGATTTCCTAGTTTACGAAACTCAAGGCCATTTTTCATAAGATAATTAATCGATGTTTAGAATATGAATTATCCGAGTAGTTCCAGTCCTGTGGTTTACGTGTCAATCAGTCAGTCAGCGACAACGTAGGACCAGGCACATATGTGCATCGGTCCAGGTTGCCATACCGCATCAGCACAACAAGATGAACACCGGATTCATAGCATTGGTTAGGTCAAAGGTAGTAATATGTAAGAGAAAGATTGCATATAGAGATATAGTACAAGAAGAAAGAATTGGTTCGTAGAAAGAAAGATATGAAGCGATTTTAATCTCTTAGTTTAAGGGAAGACAGGGAGTGTAAAGTTGTTGCTATTCTTTTACTGTTCAAATGTTAAAAATTAAGTTAATGGTTCATGTCAATTGATTCGATAATGTTTAACGAACTATATCGAATAGTTTGAGTTAATAAGGTATATAGTTGAACTTCACCTAGAAGCTAAAACTTGACTGGTGATTATAGAATTTATGATCATCTAAAATATCTTATTTGTACATTTTTATATACACCTTATGTACATTTTTTTAATAATTTCTTAACATTAGAATCAAAAAAATAATCGAATGATTTTTTGTTAATCTGTACAATCACAGAATAAACTATTTAGTACAATGATTCAGATCATATTCCAATATGAACTGGAATTTAAAATCTAATAAATTCCATATCAATCCACAGCGCAAAAATGTCACTAGTCTAATTATACCTATTTCTGTATCATTAAGATCTTTTTTGAAAATTGTCAAGTTCTCATTGTTCAACTACTGATTCTCTTTTTCTTTTTAAAAGAAAATGAAAATCAGTTCAAATTAGATTATACTATTAAAACATAATTGACTTTCATTCTTAAAATGATTTCTTTCTAATTAATACTCATATCAGCTGGGAAATCATTGAAAATCATGATGGAATGTATTGAATATTTGTTTTGTCATCAATGTATGTATGTACACTTTGTATTCTTTTAAATTTCACCGTGAGGGTAGAAAAGTTTATAATCAATTCAAATGTTCAAACTATGCCAATTGATAGTTGATTCACTTAATCATATGTTTCTTTTTCTCTTTTACTAAACTGTTTATCGTACTTCCTACATTCACTCATCATATATCTCTTCTTCTCTCGACTAGCTCATAAAGTAATTAATTTCTAAACTAATAAATGAATTATTCATTTATCATTTCCTACTATTTTTTTCGGTTAAAATACAAAACCGAAAACCTTTCAATTGAATCTATCTGAATACTGAGAAATGAAAGTTTGTTTAAATATAGCTCTTAATTTTACATAACAATATACATATATACGTACATCTTAGTTGCATAGATTATGTTCTGATATGATAAAATACTTACGTTTCATTTATTTTTCTGTTGAGAAAAACTGATGGTAATGAAGAAGAAATCGAATTGTATCATTAATAAAATCTTGCATATTATAATTAGATGGTAAATTTGTTTTTTACAATTTTTCAATGTATTTTTAATGTGTCCTTATTATTTCTACAAACCATTCCATGAGTGTAAATGTAAATTTATTCTTAGAATTCTTCCTTTTCCCACAAATAATCACCTACCATAGCACCATACAATTACGTTCATAAAAAATCTATTTGCCCTCAAACCATAACACTACCTAATTTATTTAACTGATGATCAACAGAAAATATTCATCACTATAGGGTTGTGGAGATTATTACTTTTTTAATTGAGATCACGAACTGATTGATGTTAGAGCACCATGGAAAACCTGGAAGCACTGGACGACCGTTTCGTCCTCTTGTGGGATCCCACGATCCTGCTCGCGGAATTCGATCCCAGGGATTCGTGAGGGAATTCTTGGAGTTCTAGTGAAAAGCCGTGACCAGTGGAGCTAATCCGTGTCGGGTAGAGACAGATATCTACTTCAGTACAATGGAAGATGGTCGCGCAATTTCGTGGATTGGTTGAGGTTAGACATTAACATTGTTGGATTCCGACTGAGTGTTCTAGAGGTTAAGCGTTCGCCCACACGACTGAAGGCCCTGAGTTCGACTCTCGCGAGCGGGATCGTGGATGCGCACTGCTGAGGAGCCCCACAATAGGACGAAACGGCCGTTCAATGGTTCTAGGTTTTCAGTGGTGATCTAACATCAATCGGTTTATGATCTCAATCAGAAAATATTCAGTTCCAGTTAAAAATAACAATTTCACAAGTGAACATTATCATGAATTTCAGTTAATTTAGACTCTGACACTGTAAATTGGATGAAGAAAATATTAGGCATCAAATGAGTACATTTTTTCTACTTGATTTATTGTTATCAGATCAATGCCGTTAGAAATTAAAGCAACAAGTGGTTGTTGATTTTGATTTTGATTATTACCCCGAAGAAGTTCAGACAAGTTAGCTGGACGAAACGTTGGAATTATTTAAATTTCAACCGCTGAGATTATTTCAAATATAATTTTTCACATATAATGAACAAGTGGTTGTGTTATATTCCACTGCGTTAACCACTTCATATATGTATGCGAACATGAATGCATAGAGAGTAGTGATCATGATTAGTTAAGGTGGTTGTGCATTTATCAAAATAAATAAAGGCAAATGACACGTAACGAAAGCGGTGAACAAACATCGATTTTCCTCCATTACTTAATATAGTTCAAAAGCGGTCTAGGTCAAATACCTAGGTATATGGAAGCTTTAGAGCTTTTACCCTACTCTATTGTTTAATCAGAAACAATTTTTACCTACATTAAATCTACCTTGGTAATATTGTTTTTATATCCAGAGTTGTGTGATTCACACTATTTTTCCCCATTATCTTCCGACTTGTCTAGTTCAACTTTTATTCTTCTTACATGAAAATTTGTTAACTAGTTATTATCTCATCAGGTCATTACGTTTCCATGTAATCACTTAGATGGAGCAAACTTTATCCCCTAATAAATAATTTACTAGTTATCCTGATAATTTGAAATCAAGTTAAATATCCCACCTTTTTTTGTTGGTTTTCAGTCTGAAATACATGGTTCCCATTATTTAATTAATATTGTTTCCATGTTAGTGTTTAGCAAGTTTTCATTGATAATCTTTTATTTACCATTAATTTTATTTATTTAGATGTTTTTTTGTCTTTTCTATCATATATATATATCAACATTAATTTCTATATTATAACACAGTCGAAATTCTCAATTTCAAAATGCTTCAGTTCTTTTATCCGGTATTGACGATTTATTTCGTAATTTTAAATATTGTTGGTAAGTTGTTAAATATTGTCATTATTCTTATGATTATTTTGTTTAATAATTTTTTTAAAAAATGAGAATCGTGAAATGTGCATTGAAATACCGATTGACGAGTTCGAATAGCACGAGATGCATCAGCTCACTTAGTATTGCAGATATCTAGATAGCTAAAAAGTTCCAACTAGCAAAAAAAATTAGGTTCACTGATTGCTGCTGGTTGCACTCAAATGAACATCTCTAAAAAAGCTATCCTGGCTATGATAAGTAGTCCCTACTCATCCCAATTATTCATCTCTATTTAGATATTGCTACTGTATTATTATTATCATTACTACTATTACTATTGTCACCTGTACTTGAAATAATATCTTGAGACTATTTTTTCATCAAAAACTAACGTCAATTGTAATGTCAATCAAAATGAGAGTGTTTTATTATTTCATCTATAACATCGAGTCATGATTTTTGATCTAAATCGAGAGAGTCACTAAAGCTTAAAATGTGAAACACTGGATTCTAATTTAGCTCCTAAATACCCACGGCCGAGAGTGGGAAGAGTCAACTCTCTCTCTCTCTCGAAATGCTCTCACATGGCCACGTTCATACGACTACTGCCATGGAAGTCCTACTCACTGCCTTCCCGCGAAGGGGGTGTTGTTTACGAAACTGAGAGGACGGAAAGCGAACTACGGCGCTTTAAGCAGGGTTGATGGACACGAAGAGTCCATCTAGAAGAGTTGGAAAACCCTGATTACAAACCAATGGTGCACATGAGCTCCAGGATCCTGAGGGAGCAAATGTCGTATGATTCAGTGGTTGGTCATCGTCTACCATGACAATGCATCTTCTGACGTTGCTCCACTGCCTTGTGGATTAGACCTTTAGATCAAAGGTTCAGGGTGTGGCTACCTAAGAAATCCGCCTGCTTCAGTTCGGGCACCCGGGCAGTATCCCAGCCCTTACACAAATCGAATGATTTATGTGGCACATATCTATTTGGTGTCTCCTTATAACAATATTCATGTTTTTAAATAAATAAATAAATACCTCAATTTATCACGTCCACAGGAAAACTCGATGCCTCTGTTTCCAACGGAATGTTAAGTTGAGATTATGTAACGTTACTGTGAGTCTCAAAGGTAGGATGAAATTACTATCATAACCATTAAAGATCTACCATCTATACCTAGTACCCTGTCTTAAGGTAAAAATAGCTAATCTATTGACTAGATAGTGAACCATCATAATCTAAGTTGGTTAGGACGTGTATTATGTATACCCAACCACTATCTATCTTGGTACATAATGTTTTCCAGTGCAAACGTGGACTGGGATAAAGCTTGGGCGTGAAACCAAGATGTAGTATCAGTTGATACAGGCATTGACTGTCGAACTGACTCTAGTTGGTAGGTGCCTACTTCCCGTTTAGAGTTTATGCGACACGCCGATCAATGATTAGAAAGGTCGGGCGACATTCTTAATATTTTGTCACAGTAGCACAGATGTATTCACTATATGTCCATGGATTTACTCATTGTTCTCGAATCATATTCTCAATACTTAATGTTTTCTACTACCAATGATACCGTTAGTACTTCTAGTACTCAGGAATTTGTCTTTATACAATACAGCATATTTTTTAAAATCATTCTATGATTGACAGGTTAAATAACGCCATGAGAAAGTTCATCAGACTTACCATAACATTACGAAATACCTATTTAAATATTATTGTTTTAATTAGTAGTAGTGTTGATTAAATTTATATTTTTCTTTTCTAGGGTTACTCATAATGGTGTAATATGTGAACAAAGATGGTTATTTCATGTGAACTGTTTAGATTGCTTAGATCGCACAAATTTAGTTCAATGTATGTTCGCTGTTGTCATGATTACAAATCAGGTAAATTAAATCATTATTTATCATTGGTGTGAGTTTTTGTATGGATTGAAAAGGTCAACATATCATGTGCACACTAGTGACTAATTTTTAGAGATAATTTTGGAGCTATAGTGAGAATCCGTGAGCAGTAGACTTTTACTATGTCGAATTTTACCCACCAAGTACATTGGAAGATGGTTACGCAATATTACGATTCGATTGAAGTCAATCATGTAGACAACTGGATAGCGGCCCAGTTGTCTCGAAGTTAGCCGTTTCTGTACGAGGCAAAGGGTCTTGGGTTCGATCCCCGGTAGTAATAAACACAACACACGCAGTTTGGAGCGCAGTTTAAGGAGACCAAAAATAAAATTTCATGAGCTTGAATAGTTAGCAACGGTGTTTGGTGGAAATAAAAATATAACCATAGGTTAATTATTAATAGTGGAGACAGAAGAAATATTAATAAGTGAAGAGCGAATTCGATCTTGACACTGGTTGGAGATGTATTAGAGGTTGTCATTTCATATCTTTCCACACTGTAGAATGATATCTCTACCTGAAAAGTAAACTGAGTTAATAGTGGTCTTGTCGACGTGGTAATGTAGCAACATAAGCCAACGGACAAGTTGTTGAGCACGGTTACAAACGTCCTACTTTTGACTACCTCTTGATGTGTTAACTCCATAATTTAAAGGCTTTAATGTCAGTAATGGTTATTTGGTGAACAAAGTAAGGTGTGCTGTTTTTATAGTCAACTTTTTCTGAATTCCTCGTTTCGTTATGAGTAAGCAGTATCGTTACAGTCGGTTGTACAACTTTGACTTCGTTTTTAGTCTTACCATACATCAGCTGGACCTGCTTAATAAACAATAAAAAAAATGGATTGATTTTTCAACTGATAACCAGTTTACAAAAATAGGCTCGATCATCACCATACTGAACAAAGTTATTGATTGTTTGGTTAATTAACAGTTTCATTTAAAACTATTCATAATAATCGTGGTTTTCTAATTGTTAAAATAAATGCAAATATCAGATGGGTTTTTGTGGAGATTGTAGTAATTTCAATGGTTAAGATCATGAGTCAGTTGAAGCTAGACCACCATGGAAAACCCGGGAGCACTGGACGGCCGTTTCGTCCTATTGTGGGACTCCTCAACAGTGCGCATCCATGACCTCGCCCCCTGCGAGATTCGAACCCAGGACCTACTGGTCTCGCGCCCGAGCACTTAACCACTAGACCACTGAGCCGGCATCCAACGGTGTTAATGTCTAACTTCAACTACTCCACGAAATTGAGTGACACATTCACCATTGTCTTCAGTGATTACTATCTCACAACAGAGCATATGTTGATTAATATCAGATGGGTTTTTGTGGAGTTCAACCAGGTCTGTTGTGAGATAGTAACTCACTGAAGACAATGGTGAATGTGTCACTCAATTTCGTGGAGTAGTTGAAGTTAGACATTAACACCGTTGGACGCCGGCTCAGTGGTCTAGTGGTTAAGTGCTCGGGCGCGAGACCAGTAGGTCCTGGGTTCGAATCTCGCAGGGGGCGAGGTCATGGATGCGCACTGTTGAGGAGTCCCACAATAGGACGAAACGGCCGTCCAGTGCTCCCGGGTTTTCCATGGTGGTCTAGCTTCAACTGACTCATGATCTTAACCATTTAAATGCAAATAGTCGATTGCAAAAATAATTTTTTTTCACCAAGCTGATAATTTATGAAAAAGTCAACTTTCAACTAGATTTACATTTTTATTTTGATCATGAACTATTTTGCTTAGTTTTAATTATGATTTCTTGTTTCATTTCAAAATAATCTTAATAATTTAAATATCACATTTTGTGTAAGTTTTTCCAGCACATTAAACTAGATGCACCAGGGAACATTCAAGTAATGTATACACTATGGAAGACAAATTGATAATCAAATAAAATGGGGCATAAAATATCATCACTAAATGGAAGAATTTAAAAAAAATATTATCATAAAGACGTTTTCACTACAAATCTGTCAATTTTTCCTCTGTTAACCTGAGTATAGCTTTTTAACTGTATGTAGATAAAACAAAAGTTTGGTAGAATTTCTTTAGACTTTACCCTTAAATTATATCCATCAATATCTGTTTGTGTCTACTTCTGTTTATAATTTTGAATACTGCCATAACTACAACTTTTAATTGTAGTGAAAAACTATCGGTAATACATGTTTCAATCCAAATTATCAATAAAACTAAACAATATTGATGAACCTATTAGATTTAAGATAATACCTTCTAGATTTTTGTGCACACTTCAAAGTATAATGAAAGGATAACATGTTTATTATTAAGATCTCAGTAAAAATTATCTGTCTAGTTACTATGATAATGGAAATATTTAATTTTCATGTTTCTAACTCAATCAAAATTTACTATCCATAAGATTTATTTAAATTTTAAACAAAATTAACTTCATTAATTTTTACTTTTCTTTAACTAGTTTATTGTTTCATCATTGTACATGTGAATATATTATTATTGCATTAGAAAAGATTCATTTCTTAACTAAATCCGTTTAAAACGAATTAGTATCAGAAGGGGTTTTATGGAGATTGTATTAATTTCAACAGTTGAGATCGTGAGTCAATTGAAGCTAGACCACCATTGAAAACTTAGAAGCACTGGACGGCCGTTTCGTCCTATTGTGAGACTCCTCAGCAGTGCGCATCCACGACCCCGCCTCGCGGGATTCAAACCCAGAACCTATCAGTCTCGCTCCAGTCGCTTAACCCGCGAGGCGGGATCGTGGATGCGCACTGCTGAGGAGTCTCACAATAGGACGAAACGGCCGTCCAGTGCTTCCAGGTTTTCCATGGTGCTCTAGCTTCAATTGACTCATGATCTCAACTGTTGAAATTAAAACGAATTCTTTTATTCTTATTTTTCTTTTTTTTGATCTTTTTGAAATATTACTTTTATAGATTCACTTTCAGACTGTTTTTTTCTTTCATATTTGTAATCATTAATATCCTCTTGTTTTCTTTCTCTATCTGTCTATTTGTTGATAGGTAGTTGTTTTTCATCATACATCAGCTTTATCCACACCTTTTTTGTTCAATTTTATTGAAAGGTTCCAATTTCAGTCAATATTAAACACTTTTCTAAATTCAAAAAAAACGCATAACATTAAACTAGATATAGGTCACACACAATAAAAATTAAAACGCAACTTCAATCATCATTTGCTAAAATATCAATACAATAATTCATGGAAGGAGAGACACAAGAAACACTTTTTTTTTAAAAATTGTCAGTAAAAAAACGGACTTCATTTTAATGATGCTTTGTTGTTCAAGTTGGATGATTTAGTTGTGGAAAGTTTTAATTGTTGATCGTTTTTCGTATTTCAACTAAACGTTTGTTTTTTTGCATGAAGTGGGCACTAGTGGCGTTATTTTGAAAAACTACGGAAACACCTCAGTTAAACTGTACAGCTCAGAAAACACAATACTATTAAGTGCTTCGATCTAAACTACGAATTGTATCTAGCATTTCAAAACTAAGATTAAAAAGTCAGTGGATAGTAAAACTGTCTTGGAATTAAGTAAATCATTGATCCACCGTTGATACAAAGTCACTAGAATGATCGACGGGACACTTCTAGAAGAACAGACTGACGGGCTCTCAGTTGTTCTCTAGTTATCTATTATTCAACAATTATATGAATGAGAGATTGACATTGAATTTTCAGCCCGTAGAGTCTTCAACTGACACGAAACTGAAGAAAGCAGTATGTTGGTCCCAGCGATTATTAAGAATGATAGAACAAGATAAGTAGTGATACTGATCCAATCCACCCATTATATATATATATATATATATATATATATATATATATATATATATTCTTTCTCCCTGAATTCGAAAGATGTAAAATTTAAGTTTTGACTCAAGTTAGCTTAGAAATAAAAAGTATTGTGCTCCATTCATCGCAGAAACTCCCATTTTTTTTTCAAAAATAATGATTAATTTACAAAATACTTTATTGCTTTCCCAAGTTTCCGTTAATAATTCCTACACGACATGTTTACATTCTCAATTAGTTTCACAGTAATTACATTTTTGCAATATATTATTACTTACATTACATAAAAACCCATCATAAATAACGTAGAACCTGTCACAAATATGTTTCGACCCAAGTGACCTCATTTCGCGTCAACACAGTGAAAGAACAAAAGTAAACAAATCGAAATTATGTTAGTATCAATGACAATAAACAGAGGATGTAGTTCGAAGTCATTGAAATTCGATGAACCAATAAAATGTATGAAGTAATGTTAATGCTTAAGATTTTTTTAAAAAGTTTAATCATAACTTATGTTTTTTTTTCGCAAATCGCAATTAGAAATTATCTGGACAGTGAATATAATACTACTAAAATAGCAGAGCTGTATCTTAGCAACAGATGTTTACATTGTCTCACTTTATTCTAATCATTGTATTCAACTGTTACCTTCTTTTCTGTTTTCATTATCACTTTTCATTTCCATAATTCTACTAAAATGATAGTTGAAAAAAATTGGTTTATTAGGCCCGGAGGAATGTTTACCCACTGAATTTCTACGCGCAGTTCAACATATGTGGGCAACAAATGGCGATGCTATCAGTCGAATTTATGCAGGGACGAGTGCAATGAAAGTAAGTTAAGTTTCGTATATGTTTGTGTTTTTGTGCATGTTTTCTCCTGTCTATTCGTTTTTTCATTGTTATTTTGTTTAATATATGTCTTTAGCAGATTAGTGTCATATGAGCACATTCTGTTTAACTTTCTCTCTACTATAATTAATTACAATGTACTCAAACTATATCAATAATCGAAGTAATACTAATGATAACAATCCTTGGAATTTTACACGATCATGTATTTGTAAATGCCCTTAAGATATTTGTCATTATATGACTTGAATACACTACTTTTGAATAGGAAATTCCCTAAAGATCATCATCTTGAAAAATAAATTATTCTTATTTATTTAATTATGCAAATATCTTTTTTGATTATTCTCTACTCAAATTATATAGTATACAATCTAATCTGGATATTAATTGAAATACACTGATAAACTTACTATATATCGTAAAGATAAAAATTTTGCAAGACTTTCATGAGTATGTGCCTGTATTCAGTCATTCTTGATAATGAGCCGTTAAAAGTGTGTATTCGGGCAATTGTGTGAGTTGTAGCAGTGATATGACGGATAAAAACAGCATACGTTTAGTGAATATCAGAGCTCTTTAAGTTAATCTCAGTTATATCTGACGTTCTCATGATATTAGACTAGCTTTAAAAGGTCAGGTCAGTAACGGGTCAGTAAGAGCTGTTTTGCTATATGCTTTTGAAGTCTGGTATGTCGGAACTGAGGATGTTTAACTATTCTTTGCGTTCTTTGATTGTTGTCTCAGAGATACTGCTGATATTCAGTACTAATACCATGTTATTAATGCTGAAACTTATCTCAATTTTAATCTTAATTACAAGTTCGATTTTTGTTAATGATAAGACGGAAATATTGATTTTATTGGCTACCATCAGCATTAGGGAAAATCGTTTATGATAAGAATATTTGGCTGTTAAATTAAGTTTTGTCATCTCATTATTTACAAATGTTCAAAAAATACTTACAAGATAACTTGTTTTGCCTTGTTCAGTAAAGTTTTATCTATTTAGTATTGATTTGGTAGGATATGATAATGGTAAAGACAATGCTCATAACAAGGTGTATTCCTAAGATTTTTAATATTCCACTGTTTCTAATCATACAGACACAGTATCATAGCAAGTAGATTTAAAAGTCAATGTGTACTAACCAAAATCTGATTATCCTAAATGTTATGTTAAATGTCCTAATCTAGAATAAATGATTTAGCGTACTCTGCACATCGGAGTATATTGGGGGAATTTATTGATGGATTAACTAAGAGGCGATATCAGCCCATGAAGTTGCTAACTTGTTTTTTGAGTTATGTCAAGAAGTCCAGACTTCCTATCCGAAATTCTAAGGATAATCGATATTGACATCTTGAAACTTTTTATAAAATGGTTCGAAACTAGTCTCAATGTCGTAGAATTATTCACTATTCATCTACATTTCCAACATGATACTGTTTACTAATTTTCTTTCCCCATCCCTTTGCCATATCATATCTACTCAGAATTATTTTGGCCATTTTAAGCCGTGAATATTAATAGTTGACAAATGGTATGAAGATTTGAAAAATGATAATCTTTAAATAACTACTTCATTCAGGGGATATTCTTTATAAAGTTACTGTGGCGTCACAATATTCGTCACAGTATTGTGAATTTGACAAGCTTGGAACTTTATTAGATAGTGTACAAAGAATTCAGCGGATTATGTAGTATGATTAATTTAAATTTTAGTAATTTGACATCAAGTGGTTCTGTCAGTTAGTTTTAGTTCTTATCCATACAACTACGTCAGAGAATTGAATTCTATCTAAATCATAGGTCTACAAACAGCTGGTCAGTTGAAGTAGTCAGTATGATCCTTCAAAATACTAATTTTTAATACAATTTGGTGGTTTAATGATGAAATTAGTCATGAGTAACATAGTTATACGCATATCTTGATACTCGCTTCTGACTATGGAATATATAGTCGGGTCAAACTTAAATATAGTGAATCAGTTTGTTCTAGAAGATCGGATAAGACATGTATTCACTACTCAGTATTTACTGTTTGGTATTCGACAGTTTGTATACGATCATCTATTTGCAAGTAGTTGTAGAACCTTATCTTGTTTACCATGGTAATCCGGTTCAAAAGTCATGAGTTGTTTTGTAATTTGGGTGAAAGGTGTATTAAGAAGACAATATCATTTGATTTGAAAAGAAGTGTGCCGTATTTGTGTTAATGCATTTTATACAACCGAATTGGATATTCACTTATCGAGACAATTTTAAGTTTTAGCACAGTTACATTGTAACTAGTAGTAGGATCCAGGACTTGAGTTTCTTGCTATCTGCGATTCGTCGGCTGGGATGTTCTTACATCACAAATGTTGATGCTCACACTGATACTTGAACCAAGTACCTTTCACTTCGGTGGGCTCATAAGTTCCGACAGCTATTGGCGTGTTTAACAATTGTGAGAAGGCTGATAAACATTTCACTTCTAATTCCTGCTTTATACTGTTTATATCTGTCCGCATAAGCAGCTCACGTCCCAATATGAAAGGTTAAATAGATAAAGAATCGGACTGTACCTTTCTATAATTAATCATATAACTGAGAAAGCTCATACGATTAATTCTGAAATACTTTTTTAGATTATTATATAAAAACTATAAAGTTATCATTTTTAAGTCTGTAGGAACTCTAACTCTCAGAAAATTTAAGCCTCCTTTATGAATCCAAAAACGACAATCCTTAATCCATTTTTAATCCCAGTGCTAATATAAAACGTTGTTACTTCATATATTTCACTTGTTTCTCTAGCTCTCTCCTATTTTTCCAACTATCAATTTTTATCAGTATAAGGTTGTAGAGATTATTGAGTTCCAATTGAGATCATGAACCGATCAATGTTAGACCACCATTGAGAACCAGTAATTTCAGGTTTTCAATGGTAGGTTAACATCGATCAATTAATGATTTCAATCAAAACATCAATTTTTAGTTTTCATATAGAATACCTTGACCAGTAAATATATGATCATCAGTATCGAGTTGCGAAGATTGTTGAATTTCATAAAAATTACGAACTAATCCAAGTTAGATAACCACTAATTGCTGGAATGAATGAACTTCATCTCATCATACCTGGAAATTTCTTTAAAAAAGGAGGGAAGCTTTGTTATAGTGTTCCTCTTCAGTTATGTGTTTCAATGAATATACTGTTTAGTCGATAACTGTCCAATAAGTCAAGATTAAATGACATTTCGTAATCAATTACTGTCTAACACTAACTGAAATACATTGATAAATATATTTATCTTTCTTTTGTGTTGTTTCTGTATAGGGTGATTATACAAGAACTGGTTCACGAACAGTAAATGGTCTAATGCGTGATGGTGTTTATTCAGTTAGTCGGTAAATATAACTTTTTAATTTCCTCCCCTTTTAACATGATGTCAACTGAGTATTTGAAAAACTGATTAGATTTATGGAGATTAATGTAATTTTACGTTAGATTTTCTCATGGAGCGATATTATCTGGTGGAAATTTGGAAACCAAGCAACTTTAGACATCTTTGTTGTTTTAATTTGACGATAAGTGTGTAGTGAACAAGAACAACTGTTTTAGTTAGAGCATTCAAGCAATAGGTCGTGAGTTCGAATTCCCCTACATCTACTCCACTTTCACCAGACAGATAATATAACACTAGTTTTTCTATCGAAATTCCCTTTCATAAACCAACCACATAAACTTGTATTTGGCAAATTATTTAGACAACTTGTTAAACAACTGTCTATCATTCTTGTTCCTTCAATTGTTTTAATGAAGGTTATTTATGATGTAAATTTAATAGTTTGTTGCAAAAACAACACTAAGAAACTAGTCAGATTATATATGTTCCTTTAATTCCTGTAAATAAATAGTTTATAAAATCTGTTTACCAGTGACATAATCACTTAATGATACTTAAACATGAAATAAACTCTGATTTCCTCCTTATTTCTTCATTTCGTCTTCCCATCTTTCCTTACTTTCATTGCTAATTTTTTTCACTTTTTGAATTTCAATGCCCAATATTTTACGCCAAAAATTGTGATTCTGACAGATTTATTTGTTGGTAATTTACAAGTTTATAAGTATCTAGTATAATAAATAGGCTGATAATTAGTTTATTTTTTTCATCTATCTTCATTTACCAATAAAATAAACATTCTTGTTCCACTATTCGTCTATTTTGTTTGAATTTTTATCCTTATTTTTAAAATTGGCTACAATCTCGTTTAAAACCATTACTATCTCTTAGATCACTGTATAAATGTGTGTGTGTGTGTACATTCATGTATGACTGTAGATATTATTAATAATTATAATTATCTTCAGATCAGTTTACTGAAGGAAAAAGTAACTTGAACTTAATTAAATAAATTTATTGGAAACAATAAAAAAGGTTAAAGAAAAGATGATTGTTTCTCCTTCAATCCTCGACAAAAATTAATTGATGAACTACAAAAAAAACAGATGAATGAAATTTTTCACTTTGAATAAAGACCAATTCATTATGTTTTACTTCTCAACGTTAATTGAATTCTTTTTTTTCTTCTACTAGATAGTTCATTTGATTGAACAACAGATTTGGATGATCTGCACAGTTACAATTCATATATCTCATAATCATATTGTTTCTTAGTTTGATCCAAAATGTGAACTCGAATCTTAAAGAGTGGTTATATATTTTCTAATGATTAATAACTCGTTCCGCTGATTATCTTTTGAAGTTACATCTCAAAATAGGTCTAATGCTTCGTACTAGCTGTGTTCAGTGATACCTAACGAAATTAGTATTAGCAACAGTGTATGTATATCCCCTAATTTAAGTGGTTGATATATTTATTGATATATATACTGACGATATTCAAACAACTGCGAACGTTTTAGTTCCTGAAACTTTTTTTGAATATCTAAGGTATTATTCATTTATTATTTATAAGTAAAAATAATATATTTGTAATATCCCAATGAGTAGAAAATCAGACTTTCTGGCGTTTCGTGACTTAGTGTAAGTCACTTCTTCAGAGGATAAATAACCAAATTAAAATTAACTCAAGTTTAAATAGTACAAATAACAATCAACCCAATGCTCAATTTATTCGGAATTATCAAATCAAACCTTGGTAATGATACCTACATTTATTATTTAATTGGTATAAGGCGTACCAAAGTAAAAATGCACCACGGAATAAGAAATTGGGATTGCAAACAGATAAAAGAAGGGAGTTGAGCATAATAGAAAGAAATGATTAAGAGAAGTGAGAGTAAACAAAATAAGAAACAAATAATGAGTGTTGTGTCCCGTTAAGAATAACGAGTGGTAATTTCTTGGGATCTATTTATGGACCAATATTGTGCGCATATTTTTGTCGTATAATTGTTAATTAACTAAACTATTCATATGTATGTCTCTCTTATCGTAAGCTCCATTTTAACTTATGAACTGTTATTATACGATTTTCCATTCTTGAATTATTCCCTGTCTATTAATCACTACCTCCCACATTCACAGCCACATTTGGCAAAATTTTCTACAAATGTCATTTTCTATTTTATGGTACGTTGTGATCTGTTTGATTGGTATATAAACCAAGTATGTTTGGAATACATGATTCATATCAAAGAGGCTCGGATTGGTGGTATGGACTTAACTGGCTGGACTAGGCGGAAAGCAGGACCAATCAGAACTCTAGGTTGCTCATACGGGTTTACGCATCATTGATCCGATCGATAAGTCACTGCTCTCTAATCGGCGGTCACAAGTTATAACAGAGAGAAGCAGTATCGTTAAGTAAAGTACAACCAGAAGGGATTTCTTCAGTTAAAGAAGTTCCTGTCACTTTTATGAAGTAGAAGAAAATTACAACATAACCATCAATGTCTACTATTCTTAGCCATGTCTGATAACCTATTAAGTCACTGTATTACACCATCTGTAGAACCCCAACAACGGAGTCATTGAGGACCTAAGGATGCCGGTTTTGTTAAGCTTTCTTTCATATGACAACATAATGTCAAACACTAACCACCTCCGCTTTTTCCAATCAGTCCCAGTGTTGGGAAATGATCCTCGATGTGTAATTCTCTGGGATAACATTCGTAGTACATATCCGAGCCACTGAAGTTGGTGTTTTAGAATGGTGATACCAATCGAATTGTCATCACCGTGCCTAAAAACACCACCAGGATTTACACATCTACACAAATATGCGGACACTTTGACTGCTTCTAACTGCTCACTACCAAGATTGAGTGCATGCATAAACTTTTGCCAGTCTTATATAAGTGTTTTGCACTTAGAAAGTGCAAAGTACATCTCATGCCTTCGGACTCTTATTCCCAACTGATTAAGTGTGGTTTTCATGGCTTGAGTATTGTCACGCATACTCAAGGAACTAGTAACTAAGTTAATATTAATTAACACAATTCATAATGTGACTCAGATACAAACACTTTTTATCTCATTCCCAATGCGAATCACTGGCTGACCAACCTATTCATTTACTCTTTTGTCGTTCTTATACTTTTCTTGAAAAATTTCATAATAATAAGTTCTTGTTGGTGAAGATTTCTACAGCCCTTCATTGATCAATATGGAACGTGAATTGATGCACCATTATGTATAGTTTGGTGTGTGTATGCTTGGATTCATCCTTTTTAAGTAGTATAAACCATACAAGTGATAATTTAGCTGACCATCTGCAGGCTTTGGTGGAAAAAGTGAACAGAATTTATCCATAAACCCGGTTTCATCAGATTATCGTGTAATCACCTCTTAAGTATAGTATTCATTAAAAACTCAATAATTTGGAATAAACCTGTTAATTTACCTTATTAAATATATCTACCATGTGATCAAAACTAGAAAAATTAATCGTCTGTTAATTTATTTTCTAACTGTTATATATTTTCTAAGTACTATCCTTTGTTTCTTCGTTAACTTCCATGTGACGTTTTTTTAAAAATACCAGCTTAATGATATTGTCTATGTTCAATTGTAGTGTCTAAAGTTTAACAATATTTCTAATAATTATTTCACTGAATTGAGATATTTGTAAGCAATGATGTTTATGTACTGTGGTTCACTAATAATTTTATTCTTGATAGCTCATCATCACCAACAACTCAAATGGATGCTTTCAATGTTACTATTTTCTTTTAATTATTTGATTTATTCAAGATTTTATTGTTGTTTTGCACAATATTATCTACATGAAGTCGGCCCTGATGATGTTATCCAAAATGACTATAAACGCTTAGTTACTCCCCTCATGGAGGATCATAGGCCACCCACCAACATTATTCATCGACTATAAAAGCTACCTAGCAGTTAAATTGTCCAACTCAGAGAACCCGACAACTTCAAAACAACTACTTTTATCAATCAGTGACCTTCTTTTTTGTTTTTGTTTCGTATGTGAAAATGATTAACTTTTTAGAAGTAACACTACCTCCTAGTAGATGATTTCTAAGAGCATGTCTCCCTTGAAAATATAACAATAGTAATGATATTATAAAAACTAACTAAGTTTATAACTAATCAATCAACAATTTAGTGTATACCAACTTCTACTAAGTTTTATGCATTTATCTGAATTAAGTTAGTTCTGTTCTAACATATACGTAGTCAATATTAACGTTATTTGTATGATTGAATACCAGTAAACACTTTTGTATTTAATAGATCTATATTCAATCCTAGGTGTCATTACCAAGGTTTGATTTGATAATTTCGAATAAATTGAGCATTGGGTTGATTGTTATAAATAAAAATAAAAATAATATATTTGTAATATCCCAATGAGTAGAAAATTGGATTTTCTGACGTTTCGTGGCTTAGTGTAAGTCACTTCTTCAGAGAATAAATAACCAAAAGTCAGAAAATCCAATTTTCTACTCATTGGGATATTAGAAATATATTATTTTTATTTATATTCAGTCCTGTTGAATTAGCATAGAGGAAAATGATTCTTACAAATAAGAGTGATTTATAAGCGTCCCAGGCAAAATATCAGCGTGTCATTGCACTTTAGTTAAACAAAAGTTTATATATATATATTTAATCAATTTCAGTGTTCAATCATATATGAAAACATAATGAAATGTTTTTAGTTAAGATACTGTTTTTGAAGGAAACTATAGACACACTACTTCATTATTGAAGTTAATAAACGTATATACACTTGAAATTTTCATCTAATTGTTTGTTTACAATAAATAATAATCATAAATTTAGTGTGATTTAATTTGATCAACTTCAGTTTGTCGTTTAAGTCCTATCAACATGATATGCATCATCAAATGATTAAGGTATATATATATATGTATATCATTCTCTCAACTCAGAAATATTCTATAAATTGAATAAAGTTTTGCGTTATACTAATTATGTAAGCATATTTATAATTCAAATAATACAAAAGCTTGTTTATCACAATCATGAATTCATTAGTGAAAGCGTAGTTTATTGATGAACTTTACCGACTGTTAAAATGATCTTGAGAAAGTCAGGGCGAATTTTAAGTTAGTAACCGAATAATTTATTTCGTAGAAGTTCATTAATTTCTTTTATTCATATAGTTCTGTTGGTTAATAGTAGAGCAATACAAAGAAGACAATGCCTTACCTAGTAGAATTTTACTCACTTATAGATAATTTGAAATTTTGATTTTGTCATTGATCGAATACCCTATATTTTCACACCTTGTCTTAGTGGGTATATATTCATATTATTTAAGAATATGATCGTATACAGCGTTGTTGTTAGTTGATATAGAATAAAGTTCACTAATGAGAATCTTTTTTACTCATTGTCCTCCATAAATGAATTGATTAATCAATATGCGATAGAATATATTTAACTATTATCTGAATTTTAGATACTTGCGACATTTATAATCAATTTTTGATGAATAGTTCTCTCTTTCTACTGATCATGAATTATGGTGGATACTAATTGTTTACTATCGTCTAGTACATATTATTTATTCAGAAATGCGAAAGAAGTTATTCATCTTGATGAAATTTTTCTGCGTTCTGATTAGTAAATTTCGAATTTCTATCACATAAGTGTTGAATTGTATTCAAAATGGACACTGACTGGTTGATGAATGGTAGACTATATTACATCACCGATTTTTCGACGATGGTTGATAGAATTTTATCAGCCCTAAACGTTAGGCAAACACGCCGTGATTTCAATTAGTGTAAACATCGCAGACCTGTTAGGGATTATCCACCAGCTTAAGTAGTCTATTGGTAATTTTACCCGATTTTAACATTGTTTTGATACATCAAAAAAATCATTAGTTCCCTAATGAGTATACAGATTGTAATGTATAAATCATGTATTTATCCTGAGGCAACACAATAATTCTTTAATAATTCTTTGGATCGTGATTTTCTCTTCCATAAAACGTACCAAACTATCCATCTTCAGTTGCTTTTTCCTAAAGAAAAACAATTTCGAGAAAACATAGACGTATGGTAATTTATGTTGTACATTGGTCATCAATATTGTTCGATTTGTTAAAATCACGAATCCATCGACTTAGTAATACACATCTGAACTCTCAAAGACAATGATGCTCACTTTCCCAGCTATGAAGTCTCATCGGTGCTACGATCTATGGGATTATACTGATGTTCGAAAATTTGCTATCAAGCCCACATTATTTTGTGTATTTCATAGTTGTTATAACTGAACAAAATTGATGTGATTTGATGCATGGCATAAAACAAAGAAAATAGATGAAGATACCCTTCACTTGCCGAAAACTCGTCTCCATTTAATGTAACCGCAATAACTAGACCTGTAAAACAGAAATTTAATATAACTGAAACTGCATTTAAGAGATCATTTAAGCTGATTATGAGATACAACTGAAACGAGACAGCTATAACCTGGTCAAAAAAAGAATTTATTGTAAATTTAACTAGATGTCACTTGAAATGAAACTTGTAAATTAACCCGGTAGCCAGTCGTTGTAACCTATCAATCAAAGTACGTTTTTGTGAATTCGCCTTTAGACAATGCCATTAACGTGAGAGCTAGTGACAATACCTAAATTAAGTAGAATGGGATTTGAATCTGCAATCTATTAATTGTGAAAGCTTGAGTATTCCTAGCACTGATATGTATATATTTTGATAAATCTATCTGCCTTTATCATAAATTGCCTAATCGTGAGAAGGTGTATGTATATGATGGTTGTTATACTGTGAATGTGTCATTTTATATCTTATCCTGTAACTTATAATTATACTTTCTGCTTCAATAAATAAACATTTCTTTGGCGCTTCTCGTTATAAATAATTTTGATGCTTGAAAGCTTCTGATTATTGTACATTATCCATTGGACTAGAATAATTTAATGATTATGTTTGTCAAATAGGTTTATGTAACGGAAGTTTTTTTAATCTTCATATGAATAAACTACTGTTATTGTTTATGTAATTGTATCAACTTGATCTTATCCATAAATGAGAGCGACTTCTGTATTGATTATAAGTATACATTATTACTTCTTTTTCTGTACAGTAGTGTTGTTAAGTACATATTAAAATATGTGTTTTGGGTATGAAGTATATAATTTAGAGTACCATTGGAAATCAGAGAGTAGTGAATAACTGTTTTGTTCCAGTTTGAAACCTGTCAAAAATGTACACACATTTAGACCACTAGAGTGACACACAACTTATACTTCTATCTTCAGTCAATTCGTGATATTTTAAAACTATCATCTATTGCAATTGTTGATATTTATCTTATACCCAAAATCATTTGAATTCCACGGATCATGGCTTCTCTCTAGAACTCAAAAGATTTCTTTTCTCAAAGCTTACTAATTTTAGTAGCATCATGGATTTGCTAAGATTATTTACCTGTATATCACCAGTAGGGTCATTGATGACAATAGTGTAACCTGTTTGTCTTGTTCAGAATTGGGGATTTTCTTTCCCGTTGCACACGCTTGTCTATCAATCATATATTATCTCTAACTCCGACTTTTTTTGCCTAATAGGTTAATATTGATTATTCTAGTCCATTTTTTCCTTTTTTTTACTTTTATGATGAAAAATGCTGATATCGTTGTCATCCAGTTATTATTTACGTCTTCGTGAAATTACTCGTCAAGCTGCGATTGATTTATTCATCGGAAATGAACAAAGTCCTGAACTAATCATGCTCTGCAATGGTTCCGGTTTAGAATCGTCGTCGTTACAAGTAAGAATCATCTCCTCGTCGTTTTGTTTCTTTTATTGTTACATTTTTTATTTGATTCGTTTCATTTGTTTGCTTTAGTTTTGTTTACATTCGGTTAGATATGATGAGCTGTGAATTTTTATTGCTTTTTATCCCGTCTTCACTGTGTAAATGTGTGTATACGTGACCATGTGCGTACTCCCTTTATTCTGTTTGTTCCCCTTTTTTTCTCTTCGAAAATGAAATGTATCGTTGCGAAAAGAAACAGTATTAGTAATAATGTACTCGAACCGTTTATGCTGTTGTCAGCATGAAATTTTCTCTGATTAAAAATAATATTTTTATGACTTGTTTATTTAAGTAGTGATTGACTTTATTACTGTCCTCTTTTGTTTAATGATGAAAGATATGTAACATGAACTGTATATAATTGATAGGACTAGATTTATGGTTCAGTAAATAGTTCATATTTTGATTATTTTTAACATCTTTTGCTCCGATTACACTGTTTAAGCAATTGAATAATGTTTATTTGTTATGATTGTGGTATACTGAATTTGAATTAGAAGGGAAATTTAATATTTATATGATACACAGGGGAGATGACAAAAACTTGATAGGAGATAAAGATTTCATTCACCCTTCAAACTACACGACAGCTACTTTAAACAAATATACTCATTTATGTGTTGATTTTATTCAGGTTTGATGAACGAACATTACATATAACTGGAATTGGCGAAGTACAAAAATATATATTAAATAGAACTACTACAAAGCACATGGTAATTATTAAACTGAATGACGTTTACATTAAATTAATACAAGAAAAGACAATTCTGAATAAACGTTATTGGGAGATAAAACGAATAATAAACGGAACAAAAAACATTAAATTAAAATAGGGTCTTGTGTTTCCATCTCGTCTTAACATCTCTCACTTTTTGGCTGGATAAATATCAGTAGGTTTTCTGTAAGAGTTTTAACTTCCTGTGTCATTTGTAAGATATTGCTGCAAAATGTCTGCCATAAAAAGAATTGTGATAAAATTTTACTTGAAAAATTGTATTTCATTAAAGCATCTCTCCTCACCAAATGTTGTGGGATACTCGTCAGACAAAATCAACAATGTTTCGGCAATTTTGAAGTTTTCAATACAATTCTTACTAGTTTAATGTGATAAGCTTCTCGATATGAAGGCAATAGATATCGTAATATTGTAAGATTCTAAGTCTTCCCCATGTATTGTATGTGTTCCTTGTAACTATATAGTCTTCTTTATACCTTCCTTTCATCCTGATTTTTAGCGTATATAGTAATTTCCGAGTATAAACAATTGTCGTGTGTTTACTGACATTCTGCTGGCGTTTTGTTTTGGTTCAATAGGTCACTACTTTATCGTGAACTTATGAACTCGTTACTTAAATTTTCTGTTTCTTTTTACTCTGTAGCTGTAATGTTATCAATGTGAATTGAATCCCAGATTGTTTTTAAAACAATAAGTAGCAATTACTGATCAATAAATTAATTTACACTTGAATATTAAGTTGTATGGATATTACAAATACATCTTCAGATTATTAATATAATAAATTGATAATAATCACAGTCTAATTGGTGATTATTAATATTCTCAACACGAAGCAATCTATTCTCCATGTATAGTTATTTTGATCTACGTATCCATGATACTCGGTCACATATTTAATAATCCACTATTTAATTTTTTAAATGAAGATTTAAAATAGATAGTTATAATGGAAGTTGAACATTCGTTGTTCAAATGACGTGTTAGTCACATATTCAATGAAGTTATTAGTGGCACGTTTTAAAATGATACACTGACATTTGAGATAAGATTCCAAGTAATCTATTGAATTATTTAATAGAATGATATATGTATCCAAGCAAGCTAATTCTGTAAAGATTTCCGTGTAATTAACAAGTGACAATCGGTGAGAAATATACAGCATTGGTCAACTGTTTTGTTCTATATTTTAACCTTTCAACTGTGTCCAATCCCAATCCTCTATTAGATTCAATCTAAGATATTTGAATCTTTTTGAAAAGGATCACGATACATCTGAGTTGCTTAATTGGTATCCGTTGGTGATCCATTTCTTTCAATCTCAGTTCTTCTGTCATCTATTGTGTTTATCATAATTTTAAGCCTTCTGTACTAATGATCAGATTTATTTTAAATAAGGATAAGATTTCAACGGAATAACAGTAAAATTTGATCAGATGGGGGAATTTTCTTATTATTTTTTTGTAAGTACTTAGATTTTGTTCTATTATTGATACCGTAAAGGAAAAACAGTTCCCTAATGACTGTCATTTAGTTCTTGTTTTATGGCTCCTGGGCTATGCATCTGATGTTATTTAGTATTCTTAAAAAGTGGAACATCATCAGCACAAACTTCATGTAGAAGTGAAAAGTTCGAATTTCTCCATATATGGCTCACAGTTTGTCCTATAGACCTCGATGTTGATTGGTTATTGTTGACATTTGACCTGTAATTGTTTACTTTTTTATTTTGGTTGTATCTCCCATTGATTTGATTTTTGGTCCTATATTTGCCCATATTTTTTTTATTGGTTGAGAAATCGGATCGATTTCAATGTGTTTGTTGATAGCTGATTGACCTGAGTGTCAAGCTTCTAAAAATCCACTAGTGTTTTTAGAATTGCCTCTATTCAAGATCTCAACATTTTTCCGATCGAATGTGTGTCTACAGTTGTCCACATGTATTGGTATAAGTGAGGATATATCATGGCGTTTGACCGCCAATTGATGTTCATGCAGACGAAGATAAAGAGGGCGTCCGCTTTGTCCACTGTAGTGTTTTTCGCAGTTGGAACACTTTATTTTGTGTATGATGTTCGATTGTTCTTCTTTGGCCATTTCGTCCTTTGGTTTGCACAAGATTGATTGAAGTGATTTTGTTGGTTTGTGTGCTACGCCTATTCCAAAAGGCCTCAACAATCTCATTGTAGTTCCTGATATGCTTTTTATATATAGCAGGATAATCCGTTTGTTGGTTTAAGTATTTGATTTCATTTCTGCTGATGCGTTTGGTTGGTATTTTTTGATTAAGTTGATTAGATAGCCGTTCTTTTGAAAGATAGTCTTCAGGCATTTTTCTTCATTTTTCCGCTCTACAAGTTTGTTGCAGTGTGTCCTCGCTCTCTTGAAAAGAGTTTGTTCGCAGTTGATTTTGTGAGCTCTTGGGTTGTTGTTACCATAATTGAGGATTTGGTCTGTGTGGGTCAGCTTCCGATATGCTTGATTCTTCAGTTTTTCTGTGTCGTTTCTGATGATTAATACATCGAAGAATGGTAGTTACTTGCTTGATTACTATTCCATTGTGAACTTTACGTTATCAAAGAAGTTGTTCATCAGATTGTAGGTGTTCTTAAGCTCGTCCTTTTTGACAATGACGAATTTGTCGTGCACATAACGAATTCAAATTTTTGGCTTGTTCTGAGGCTACCAGTCTCTGCATCACCGCTTCTGCAATAAGTCCTGATATTGATCCCATTGGTGTTCCTTTCGTTTGTTCATAGATGTGATACCAATTTTTGTAAGCAGAACAGTTTTCCATTATGAAGAAACGCCAAATTATTTCCTAGACGTATGATTCAAAAGATCGGATGAAATTAAAATAACACTAAAAGTTTGTTTAATTATAGTTAAAAATGTACGTCGATTGAATCAATTCTGCAGCTTTTTCGATGGTGTCACGTTTTTTAAGTTGAATGATTGAATTCTTAATATTTTATTGTTTTCGTATCTTATTAGATTATGAACGTCACAACTTCAATAAAAAACTACAACCCTAAGGATACTTCTCTAACTATAAAATCAGTTTATTGTGGTAATCTTATGCGTTATAAGTTGTCCTCAAATACTTAAATATCTGATATCTAAACAGTTTTACTGATGATGTTGTCTAAACAATAATGAAAGCTTTCTAATTAGACTATTCAGAACTCAATTCCACTAAAGTAAATCTACAATAATTTCGTTCAACCTAGTTATGCTTCATTACACTTTTTTTATTATATTTTTTTCTCTATTTCTATTTGAATTACTGTTTTATTTCTTATCAGTATGTGGATTTGTGGAGATTGTCGTATTTTCACATTTGAAATCACGAGATGATTTAAGCTAGACCACCATTGGAAACCTGGAATAATTAGGAGGCTGTTTCATCCTAGTATGGGGCTCCTCAATAGTGTGCATCCACGATCCCGCACGCGGGGCTCGAACCCAGGACCTACAGTTTTGCGCGCCAATGCTTGACCACTAGACTACTCAGTCAACACCCAACGGTGTTAATGTTTTAACTTACTTCATTACGATAATTAAATTTTAACGATAGTTACACTATATTTCATTTAAGCATTAGTTATTCATCTGCTAAGTTGGAAAATAATTTTTCAGAAAGTCATTATAAACGTATCATTCAATAGTATATCACGTGCAAAAAAAATTATTCTGAACTAATTAAGGTTATTAATGAGTAACTTAAATGTTGCTATTAGTAAGAGTTTGTAATTTGCCGTTGTTTTTTTCAGGACTGTAAGTGATCTTTCTCTGCTGGTATATGTACATCATGAGTGAATTGCCTCGATATTACCATTTAGGTGCACGTTTTAGTGAATTGGGATTGTATCTATCAGTAGAATTCAGGAAACATGTTTTTTCTATTTAGAGCTTGTCAACTCGATTAACCTGCATCGCAACATTGATTTTTACACTGAAATCTGAACTTCATTAACACTTATTACCAAATGGGAATATTGAGACAATCCACTCAGGATGCACATTTATCAACAGAGACTGATCATTTTCAATACTGAATAGTAAACACGGAAAACTCTTATCAATGCGTTCATACCCGTTGAACAAGTTAGGGCGTATCTGGATTTAGTAGCTTCATCGGTAATGTGTCGGCGTTTCAATTAAAGGGAACTTGATTTGATTCTCAGTTTAAACATCAACAGTGGAATGAAGATACGCCTAGCTGACGAGCTCTAAGCAAGGTAAAACATGTTTCCGTGGTTCCACTACTAGTCAAGATCCAACTTCATTAAATACTGTTCGTTGGAAACAATTGCTAATATAAATAGGAATCACTATAGCAAAGGAGTAAATATCTTATTTACTTACGTTGTTTACGAATTGCAAAAGAAAACATTAATTATATATTTTATTTAGTCAGTAACTAAAAGTTATTATTGTTTGGTCTGAAAGCATTACCATTATCACTAAACCCTATGAGTTAAACAAGGTCTGTCCAATCAATATGCAAACTGATCCCCTAAAATTACCAGTTATGAAGATACGCATTAACAGAAACGCCCCAGGATAAGTAAATTAAATATTTTATTGAGTGTGACATGACCTTGTAATTGGTTGCTATATCGTCACAGAGTTACCCACTCTTCCTCTAAATATTGATTTCGAGTATTAATTGATACCTTTTATTCAGCCCTTCCCCCATCTTATATGTTCTCTATGCTTATCTTTTCACTATCACTTATATTTATATTATTTTACCTCTTTTACATTGTTACTTCTTAATTTTCTCTCTAACACTAAAATGAAGTGTGTCAACTTTGATCGGTTCGTAACTGTGTCAGGTTATATGTTTTCTATGACTGAAGTTGATTGACTAGTGTACACAAAGCGAAAAAAATAAAATGTCAAATAATCGAATATTGGACATCTAATTGATAAGACAAAGTGTTAACCGTTTTTCAATTTCAAATCATATTGATCTCTTTCTGACAATGCATACTATCAATAACTGGAAGATCTTAGATTTTATAATGACAGCAATAGATTCTCTTTGAAGTGAACAAGAACACCAATGGGGGACAACCAAGTGTATTTGAATACAAAATTACAGAATCTCAGTAAAATATAAGAACCATAGAGTAGATACTTTATTTGCAAAATATCCATCAATCGTTTCAGACTTTGTTGTTCCTTCTTTTCTATACAATCACTCTGTGTTCTCGTTCTGTTCTCTTAGATTTTAATCGCTGAAAAATTTCCATTATATTAAAACACAATTGTATGAACGAAGTATATTCTTGTCAATAATTTCTCATCAGGTTCTACAATTATAAATCCAAGTTAATAATCCATAAAATTGGCCAGATTCAAGGCAGAGTACATCATTTGGAAATTGTAATATGTGAATCAGGAATTGTTTGTTATATAAAATCAATTCAGATCGTTAATGTTGAGGTTGTTTAATATAAAGTGTTAACTTGAATCAGTTTATAAGCGAAATGAAATTGTGCGATAAATAATCAGAGTAAATATGGTCAACATGGGGTGAGAGAGAAAATAATGGAATAAAAATCGGAAATTACGTAATACGTAGAATAATATGAATTAGGTCAGATATAGTAGATTTAGGGGTGAATATTGAATAAATCCCTCAAAAGGTTATCAAGTGTAAAGATAATAATAAGTTTGGTATATAAAATGAACATTAATTAGATTACGTCACCATATAAAAAAATTAATTATTAACTAGTTGACCCCAAAGTTGGCCAGGGTAAAAGGAGTGGCTGAACATACTTCTTTTGGATGCAAAGATCTGGCTTTTTGATCCGAATAGCAATTGATTCAGCCGTTCGCAGTCCGACGGAATTAGGTAGACTGTTGTTAACACGATAGATTATTGCAAAAGATTGCTCCATGTTGGCTGTATGTCCTGTTTGAACTAGATGGTCTAAGATGAAGCTATCAACAGTTTTGACAACACCTTTGCTTAACCACACGGGGAAGTGCTCACGAGCCCGAATGTACAAGTTCCTAGAACATCTACCAATATAACTTGCTCCACAGGAGCAGTTGAATTGTTAGATACAGAAGGAGGTGGCTAGTCTAGGTAATTTATCTTTCAACCTTGGAGTGATTATTGGTCGTGTGGAGAATAGTAGTTGTAGTTTACCCGCATTAAAAGTCCTTTGAATTGATCTACTTAACTTAAGTCTTAGCGTTTCACTCGTTACATCGCCTGTGAATTGTAAGCGTATATGCAGAGGCTTTTTTATTTACAGTTTGGCATTCTCTATGCTGCCTTTTATTGGCTATGTTTTTCTTTATAAATTTCTCGAGATATCCATTTTTCTTCAGGGTTAAGTATAATGACTTTGTCTCATCTTCAATCGTATCCACAAAGCATATAGTCTTGATTCTATGATGCAGTGTCTTAATTAGATTTCTTTTGTGTTGTAGAGAGACGAAAATAAGAAAGTTTGTATATTGACCCGTCCAGCAACAATATATATATATATAACTTTTTTTCTTTGGAATATTCTTGATTTATTTACCGTTCTGTCATAGAGGTTTTTTTCTTAATTTATAAATATTATGATCAACTGAATTGATGACCCGCCATCTTGTTCAAATTCAATCCAAAGTTTGTTTTTATTAATCAATCAATCAATCAGTCAAACAAAACATTTTATAAATAATTCAGTTCTATTATAATGAATGTTTTGAAAATACAATTTATGCATTCAATTTACACTTTTAATAATAAAAGTAATAATGATGTATATTTTTTAAAAAAAAAGATAATTCTATAACAACACTAATGATTGACTGTCATAAATGATTGAATTATAATTCTTTTACTAATTGATGAAATGATTTAAAATGTAATTTAATTTGTATCTTTATTGTTGGTTGTTTTAATTCATTCATTTGAAAATTGTGTTCATTATTTGATTAGGAAAAAAAAACTTTTTTTTCTCATTTTAGGTTCGAGAAGAACGTATTAAACTTTTGATTAGTCGATGTCAAGAACTTTTAATTCAATCGGATGAGAAATATTTCGCTGAATGTTTACTTGTATCATATTCTGAGTAGGTTTACTGTTGTATACTTTACTACTATATGTTGAGAATTTTTTTCACTGATTATATTGTTTGATGAGAATTCCCCATTAGAAACATGTTTAAAGCTTCTCTAGATGGAGTAGGATAGGTATCTACTAGGTAATATTTAAAACTTAAATATTTAAATCAGTGAATAATCAGTGGGCATTATTTAAGCAATAATGCGATTATGTTATCTGTTAATAAGCCTAGAAGAACTGCTTAACTTTTCACTGATACTGTTACCTGATAACAACTGATTCGATTGCACTAAGCATAAAACGCAACCCTTTTGCTACATGAAATCACTCAAAAAGTATGATATTTGTGTGTTTGTCTAGGGATATTGTGGAATCATTAGATTTCTATTGTATTGGTGCTGCACTTAACACTAGACTTAAACCAGCACTAATCAAGTAAGATCTCAACGACAACTGTTATTATTCTGTTAGACTAAAAGATTCAAACATATTAATAAGTAACTCTCGAAGAAAACAAAGTATTTTCATTAACTTTGCTTATGCTTTAAACATTTCAACCCAATACTAAAACAAAGAAGAATTCTACCACCCAATAAATAACTTTCTTCTCTTAACTCTTAATGACTATCGTATTTTCGACTGAAGGTACCAATCCATTCATCAGATGCTTAGAACACTTATTTCAAGTCAATGAACTTGATATTTTACCAAATCAACATGTTTGATAAATAGCTTTGTTTAATTGTATCGATCATACAACCTATTTCAAGTATTTATTATGCAAATAGTTCAGCTCATCGAATCATCTATATTGATAATGACATGTACACAAGTGTCTATAAAATTCATTGTACACTTTTTATATATTTACTTACTGCCATTTCTTCATGATCAACCCTACTGTTAATTGACTTAAATCTAAACGACTGGTGTTCTATTTTGATGGAGTTTTGTTCTCTGAGCTGGATGGTTTGGTCGTGGAGCTTTCATCGTTCTTCTGAACGACATCATCAGCACAAACTTCAGATAGAAGTGAAGTGTTCGATTTTCTCCATATGTGTTTCACACCTTGTTCTGTGCACCTCGATGTTGATTGGTTCTTGTTGACCTTAAATTTATCATTGTTCACTTCTTTGTTTTGGTTGTGTCTCCCATTGTTTTGATTTTTGTTCTTATATATATGCATGATTTTCCTGATTGGTTGATAAATTGGATTGATTTCAATATGTTTGTTGATTGCTGATTGACCTGAGTGCCAGGCTTCTAGAAATTCTCTGGTGTTTTTGGAGTTTCCTCTGTCTAAGATTTCTACATTTTCCCAATCGAATGAGTGTCCGTAGTTATCCACGTGTATTGAAATAAGTGAAGAGATATCATGGCGTTTGACTGCTAATTGATGTTCATGTAGGCGTAGGTGGAGGGGGCGTCCGCTTTGTCCGATGTAGTGTTTGTCGCACCGACTGGTGTTCTAACTTGGATTGACTCGTGGCTTCAACTGAGAAAATCCTACAATCTCCACAAATCCCTATACTAATAATCTCTATTGTTTAATTAATAAATAATTCCGATTATAAGTTTACTTATAATAAGGATTCTACTAGATTTAATTAATACATTAGTTCTCTACACGTAAATATTCAATATCAATTATGTCAAACTTTATACATTTTGAATATTGAAATTAAATTATTTTAAAATGATTTCGATATAATAAGAAGACGAAGATTATCAGAATTATGTGATGTATTAGCTCAATTAAGAGCATTTATATATAAAAATAAAAGGTCAACTAGACTGGAAACGGGGTAAGAGGAGATAAGGCTAATGATAAGAGTAATAATAATAAGGTGAACACAATTCAAAACCTAATCACTCTGGCTAGTAAGTCAATATCACTAGGGTAAATTTAAGGTAAGAACAAACTGTTTTTGAACATACAAAAGGGGTTTGAATTTTCGTATGGCTAAGGCTTCAATAAACCTTAGTATACTCCCTTTTACACTTTTATACAAAACCACAAAAGCCGATTTAAGATCAATCTTATAGCCTGTTTCAATTATATGTTAGCAATAGAGGATGATGGATGTTTATCCTCTGCTCTTATTGGGTCACTTGATTGTATTTGTTTCCGCAACCATTTTGGTACATGTTCACACACCCTTATTTTGAGATCACGATTGCTCCTCCCTATGTATGTAAACACAGCGGGATGTGACACAATCATTTTCATATCTTTTAGGTTTTGAATGAAATATTTTATACTAAAATGAATCAACCAATCAAAATTCTGTGGATGCTTCTCTTTTCTTAAACTAAATAGTGAATACCAGTGTTATTTCTCTTACTAGTAAAAATAAATAAAATGATTATCTAGGAAATGTGATTTTTATCCTTGCAAAAAAAACATGAAGAACATAAAACGCTAGGTTCATTTCCGATTTCATGTGTGAATATAATCTAATGACCATAATTATTAAATTCACGTAATATATTATTGGTACCAACCGATTAAATTCATAGTGAAATTCAAGGTGTAAACATTTCAATTTCCTGGTGTTTTATTCAAGCATAGACTACATGGTTCTTTACAAAGACTGATATGTAAGAAGCCTACTCGAAATGAGCAATATACCAAATTCCAATGTCAGGTGCCAATGAGCATAAAGAGGAAATTAGTTCATTCTCTGTTTTTGAGAGCTAGACATATACTCATGGAGGACACTGTCAATGAAAAATTTGAGGTGGTTTCTCTTCAGGGACACTGATAGTTATTTGAAACCAAAACGTACACCTGAAAGTACGTCCCGACAACATTATCCATGAACATTGAGTTGAAAAGAAATACGGCTGGATCTTCGAAGAAGACCTATTCAACGGAGTCCTGAATTATTTTCTTCGTTAGGCACTTCATTTTATGAGGTATCAAGGATAAACTGTCTCTTTAGGCCACTTCGATGTGCAATAGTTCGCTTACTTGCTATTGTGGAGTAGGCTATATTGGCTGTACAAACTGTGCACTTCCTAAAACCATATCTGAGCACAAGTCCATATGAGAATATAAGTCATTCAGCGACTCAATCCTTAGACATATAGTCATCTATTATCTTTTACTACCACTGAAATCGTTGTTCATGATTATCTAAAAAGTCAAAAGAAATAATTTAAGATGGCTTGGATCGGAATTTTTTACATGGTTAAAACTATACCAACTCACCGATCCAAATCTGATCTCATTATATAAGTCATCAATGCTAGTTATTCTTTTGTTCTTCATCTTCTTTATAGTTGTCAAGTGAGTAATTGTCTAATACATCTATTCTACAAACTAAAACTTCTTATTACCTTCAAGGCTATTACGTAACTCACTCAATACTGTAGAAATAACCCAATATCTCCTTTATTATAAACCAGTGTATGCATAGGTTTAATAAATTTTCCTTTAATCCATTGTGATTATTTAATCAAAATATTATCCTTATAATCAATGAATATACTGAAAATTATTTATTCAGATTAATTATAAACAAGTTCTTAAATGGAATAGGTAGAAGATAAATCTATTAATGAAAAATGCATAAATATCTATCACTAAACGCATTTAACTCATTTATCCATTGATTCTTAAATGTAAAAGTGTATATTCATGTTTATGACAGAACTCTATACCGAAAAATACAAGTGTTTTTTTTTCAACCATCTTATAAAAGAGTGATTGATAAACAAATGATGATGAGTATATGTCAGATATATACATATATATATATTCTCCTGTTTATCTTTTCTAATGTTAGATAGTTCAAATCATTTGCTCCCATACTATAATTGTATTATATTTTAGTATATTTTATGAAACATAAAAGTCTCAATCTTCTTTTGTGTGTGCTTTTTTCTTTATCAACTGGCAATGAAAACATTTTCCCCTCTGACTTTTTCCCTATTGATAAGCGAACTAAACACATGATGAGCAGTAAACACGTATAAGTTTTCATTTTTCTTCCCCATTATGTCAATGAAGCTGATTATATGGTACTTATTATATTAAAAATAATACGATTTACATGCCAATAAAATTTCATTGAGTGGAGTAGATAATTTTACAAATCAACTCATAGACATACGTGATAATCCAAGGCTAGTGTATCATTAAATAAAACGATCTTTTTTAAAATTAAAAAAAATGAACAAAAAGATCACTTCAATTAAAGAGGACTAAGCTAACGCTTAAATTAATCGGTTTTTATCAATTAGAGTTTTCAGGTTTGTGCTATGCTTTGCCTACTTTGGTCCAGTCAGTTGGATAGGAATATACCTCCACATTTGACTGATATAAGTTTGTATTCATTAAGTAAATAAAAACTAGTTACATTCAAATTAAATGACTCAAACTTCCGTCACTAACTGATAATATTACATTAAAAACAATAACACCATTATTCATAGTCATGACAATATTCATTCGAATTTAAAGAAGCAAAAATAATTCATCAATAAAATCACTTTATTCTTTTCCTTCAAAAGAGTTCTCTCGTTTTTCCGAGATTTGTTTATTTTTATCCAGAAAAACATAATTTATGTTTTTTTTAAATGGAAAAGAGATGTTATTCTATAGGTCTGTTCTCATAGTGAAGATTGCTCGCACATTACAGACCAACTGTACTTGAATAACCATTGAATAGCTGTTTCGTCTCAGTCTTATAACTCTTCAATAGTGTCCACTAACGACTTTTCTAATGTCCATTTGTTTTCATAAGTTGTTTAACCGTAGGTAATCCATGAAGTAAACTATCTTCAAATCAAAACGTCTACACAAATCTCCTTTCCTTATATTCTCGTTTTATTTATTTATTCCCATTCATTTTTCTAATGAAATGATGGATTATGATTTATCTGATTTGTAAAGAGGATTATTTATCCGGAGTACTATGCAATAACGAAAAATCTCTGTTGTAACTGAAGTGGAAAACACTTTGATTACGGATACGAGATTGAGATTATTTATTCATTTTA